TGAGAACTATGGAATGAATTACATGTGAAAAAAAATACACTTAGGTAAATAAGTTTAATAAGTCCAAGTTAATTGCATCCGTCTTCTTTCCTATACTCAGTGAAGAGCTGTAAGGAATTCACAGGCTCCCTTTCTAGACTGAACCAGAAGGGGGCCTCAAAGCAGTAGCCAGAGGTATATGAACACTTCAGCAGCTAAGCTGTATAGAAGGCCAGCGCTGTGTGCTGCTAATGCCATGTCTCAGAACTCATCCCTTCCCTACCTTGGCTCAAAGATGATAAATCTTTTTATAATTCAGGTTTAATAAGGCCTCTCCCTGTAATCATTTCACTGAAAATAGATTATTCACAACTAGTTAAATTTGAATAAAGATAAACTTCATATCACATTTATTTTTCTGTAAGTCTCTGTATCTACATGTCAAGAAAGAAAGAAAGAAAAAAAACCATAATGTGTTTATATACTTCTGCGAGTGACGGCAGTTAAAAGTCTATGTTTAAATCTGACAATATTTAGCGGTAAGGAGAGAAAAGGACCATTCATTCCAAACAGCATCTAATAAATTTATATCTAAAGCACACACACAAATGCAGGGTTGTGGTTAATAGCTCTGTTTGCTCTATCCATTCAGAATTCTAAGCAAAGACAGTGATAGTTACATTTTGTCTAACATAAGCAACTGTTGTGGGCAGAAGGCTAGATTTGGGTCTAAAACCGATGTCTAAGAAAAATTCACTTTTCTAGCTGTATTTATTTGTGAAAAATGTAAAATGATGCTTCATTATAAGTTGCTAAATATTTCAAAAAACTGCTACCACCTACCAAATATGAACTATGTATAAAGCCCCTGAAGTAAATAAAAGGATGAACGAAGATACTAAGCATCTGGTGAGGAAGATGGCTATGAACTCAGCTATACAAGGCACAGTGCTAAGCAATGCTAAGAGTAGTGCCAAAGGAACATGAAGAAGGGAGATTTCTAACTCAATCTGTATCCATCACCGTCAGGCAAAGATACTTTAAAAATAAAGAAAAACCAGTTAAATATCTTTATTATTAATTTTACTACTCCTAATAAAAGACAACTTATAATTTACTAAATTTCTCCATGTCTTATAATAAAAAAAGTCAAAAACATCTTCAAATTCTTAACATTAACATTATAAAGTTAATGTGTTTCTGGAAGACTGTATACAAAAAGACAATAAATGCCCACCTTCAATATGCTTAAACACAATCAGTCTGGTAGAACGGCTAGAAAAATGGAATAGCAAAATCAGTTTGTGTAGAATGAAATTTACTTTAGCAAAGGTATGTTTCCAGAGTCTTAAGGTAAAATGGTAGTGAGGCACGGGCAAACCTAGGGTCCCACCTGTCAGAGTGCTTTTCTCCTGAGACAATCTAACTCAGGAATGGATTTAGCAACTCTGGCACCCAAAGCTGTAGATGAGTCTTTGCAGCCCACCACAGCCTGAATCAAATCTGGCTCCATCTACATTTTTCCAAAGGCTAACTAGAATAAAGCCATTCTCAGAAAGATTCTATAGTATCGATTGACTCTCGTGTCTCTTGTCTTCCAAGATGTCTCAACATGTACATTGAAGAAGTACTGGCCAATATTTCTAATTCAGTTAATGGATACATATGGCAATTTTTCTTTATGTTGAATGTTATATGAGGTAGTTCATGAGATAGAAAAGAAGTACATGGTCTCAAGAAGCTAATCTAGTTACTTAAAATACTTTCCAAATGTTATGAACTAAATTCTGAAAACATCAGAGGTAAGACTGTAAAAAAATAATTTAACTCTTACCTTTGTATAAGGAGCTATGAGTCGTATCAATTCGACAGCAGTGAGTTTTTTTTTTTTTTTAGTACCTTTGTATAATGATAAATGTTGATCTTCAGAACAGAGTGTAATCTCAGAAGTACCCTCCTGCCCCTAAAATAGCAAGTCTTGTTCCTCTTTATTGTCTGGTCAAAGTACCTCTATTATAAGGGTAAAAAATATCATTTTAAGATTTTTGTTCCTTTTGCTTTAAATAATAAGTTTCACATAGAAGTGAATGGATACATGTATGCTCTTTTCTGCTTTGCTCTAATAATCCATGATTATTCAAAATCTAATGAATTCAAGTCAGCCTCAAAAAACCAAACTCACTGCCAAGAAGTCAGACCCAATTCACTGCGACCTCTCCTTGGGTTTCCGAGGCAGTATCATTACAGAAATGGTTTGCCCAACCTTCCTTCCAAGGAGTGGCTGGTGGGTTTGAACCACCAGCCTTCTGGTCAGCAGTCAAATGCGCTCTAGTTAAAATGACAACAGACAGTAATGTCCCCTACTATGTTCACATGCCTCTAGAAATTAATGAATTTTGGAAAAAAGAAAAAGGCCATGGTACTTAACAAAAAAGATCAAATCTCTTGTCTCTCTTGCTTAAAGGTATGCTCCTCAAGCAGTTTTCTTCCTATTTATCCCCTCCCACACACACACACTGATCTCGAACCTTTAAAGGCCTTGCTCTTTGGTGCTGCATACATCAGTGGATCCTCCTATTACAAAGATAAATCCAAGCTACTCCATGATTTTTACTCAACAGATTTAGAATTAGAATTTTAAGAAAAAAATCCAAAAGATACTGTAATCTGTTGTGGGGGAATTACAGTCAATGTCATGAAAACAAAATGTGTATGAACTGCTGTATGGAAAATGAATTTGCTCTGTAAACTTCTACCCAAAAGACAATAAAAAATTTTTTAAAAAAAGGGGGGTAGGGAGAAGAACAGATATTGTAATTTGAAATTAACCAAGTCTTTTGGCTAAAGAACAGTAATCTCCAGAATAATTTCTATTTAAGAGAGAAGTTTTTTTTCCTTATTATATCATGCCAACCTTCCTGATGTATACACACAATTACCAAAAATCAAGAGCAGATTAAATAAGACGCTTTTAACCTACACAATGCTTTAAATAAAATTATAAACTCCTATATAATCTACTTTCTCAACAACAGTAACATAAAGTTAATAGAGTTTTTCAGATAATCTGAAATTTAGTGTGAACACCAATTTAAAATGTATGAGTTCAAGGTAACAAATAAATGTCCAGGGAATATTTATTGGCAATCATTTTCTTCCCTATAAAAAAACATGGTCCTTCTACTCCTAAATGATATACAGGAACTCAATCCTTTTCATTGACAAAGTTAAGTAGGATACAAATCTGGGAAACAGGCAAAACATTCAGTACTTTAATACCAAAAATGAATTCATTCCTGATGAAATTCCAGCCTGTATAATAGCTCAGAGCAAAAGACCTGTAAGTAGTTGGAATTAAAAGTACACCTGAATGTCAACTCTTTTGATATTTATTTTCCACCCCATTTGCTTGGTTATTAATTGCACCAAGCAAACTCCTTCTAAAAGACCTTTTAATAAGGCTCTGAAAAAACTTCATTGTCATTATTATTATTATTATATGGGGGAAATAACTCAGTGACAGTAAATGTTCAATTTCACAAAATCAATTAATGGCAGAGCCTGAGAGAAAATCTAATACTCTTGATTTAGGGCAATCCACTTAATCATAAATAACAAGGGCAAACACAATCTTTTCAAAATCTCACTATACCCTGTACCTTTTTCTCTCCTAAAATCATTTTCATAGGGCCATGATAGGTATATGGATTAATAGACTCTCTTGTGATGTAGCAAAAATAAAATGGGATCCTGACAATGGCTGCTAAGTTTAGTGGTACTGTTGCTTTTTCTTTTTCTGAAGCTCTTTGTTGCTTCTAACACCTGATCTAAAAGCTTCTAACACTTACCTGATCTAAAAACACTTTTTTTTTTGTTTTTAAAGATCTGTCCTTCTATATATTTCTCTGGTTTGTGAGTGTGGGAGGGGGTGTTGAAAGGGAGGAGTATATACATTGATAAGTCACTTAGGCTATCAAGCACTCAGTAGGACTAACTTTAAGATACAAGGAGAATTCTTTGGGGCCATTTTCTTTCCCCAAAAAAAGGAGTTCTGTGTTCATTAGAAAAACAAAATTCTGTGAGTTGGAGTACACTCAACGGCAACGAGCTTGGTTTTTGGTCTTAAGCAAATAAAAAAAGTGTGAAAAAGAAAATAGAAAACAACCATTCTATTCTATTGACCATAGTTCAAGAAAATCCAGATTAAATATTCAGACAGACTCTCTGAAATATACAACCATCACAATTAAGGCATTTCAGAAAAAAAACGTGCTGCAATATGCTACTATGATTAAAAGGCATGTATTGGGAACCTTTTTAACAAAAAGAAAAAGGGAAATCAACTAGGGATACAGCTTTTCATGTACTTTCTAAAAAGGACAGGCTGTAATCATGTCATAGTTATAAAAAGATAGGAGCAAGTTTCATCTTTATCTAATATTAAAACATATTTCCATGGTAAGATTTAATTGCATTCAAAGAAATACACACATGGTTTAATACAGCCAGAACCCATCATAACACATAGTAAGGGTAATCAGTTAGCACATACTCTCTAAACATAGAACTGATCCTCAAGCTTTTCTTGTACTGTTTTTTAAATGTACAGATATTACCAGACACGAGAGAATAAGGAGTAGCAATGAAGTACACCATATGGTCTCAGAGTAGGCTGAGTCCAGGTCTTTTGTTTCAATATTCCAGAGCCACTGGAAGGAAAGATAAGTATCCATCCATTAAAACACATTTTTACATTATTGCTGGCAAAAGTTATACTTTTGATGCGTTCAGTCATATTAACTATTCCTGCCTGGATTTGCTTCTTTAATACAGATCTCTTTCAATTCTACGAATCTGCAGTACAACCACCCCGGATAACAGGTCTGTAGCAGGACAATCTGATAAACCAACATAAAAGGGCAGACATGGAAGAAGAATGCAAACTTATTTTCTTAGTGACAGTTCTCAAGTAATTCTTTATCAATGACAACATTTTTGCTTTTTACTAGCTACGCACCTATCCAGATAACATCCACCAAGCGAAACCAATTACCAGGGTTTTTCTCAATTTTGAGATCTTCTAAAAAAAAATTTAATGGTACAACTCAAACACTAACCACGCCCTTTTATGCCCACGGTCAAGCCATCTTTTGATTTTTCCCCAAAAAGTACAGATATGTACATCTTTTACCCAAAAGGGATTGCACAGGTTTCCTAGCCCAAGGCAGACTCTCTAAGCTGTGCCTTTGAAATAGTACCCATAGAAGGCGGCTTTCTCTTGGGCAGTAAAACCCGGCAGTGTGTGGACACCTGAAAGAGGCACCACGCTTACCTCCCACACACCTGCAACCCCTGGCGGGATGCTGGAGCTGAAGCTCCGAAGACTGCGCTCGGGTCCGCTCTCGTTCCTGCTCTCCTCTCTCCCGAGAAACTACAGTCCAGGCTGCGCCTTCAGCTTCTACAGGGACCCAAGCTCCGCCTCCCCCTCCTCTAGTTGGCGAATTCGGCAGCTGTTGCTCCTCCCCCTGCTGTTCCTGCTCCTGCTGCTGCTGCTGCTGCTGCTGGGGCCGTAGGCGGCGGGAAGCCGTTGCCCGGGTACCTTCCCGCTTCCTGCACTTCTGCAGTTTGTTCAGACGCTTCCTGTCTCTGGATCCCCTTATCCCTTCACTCCGTGGGCGCACACCTGGAGCTGCCTCCAGCCCCGCCTAAGGGCCTCTGCTGGGAACGCAAGCTCAGTCTATCCTGCCCCGACCTGCGAGTCTGGCAACCCGGAGTCCTTGGACCCCTGCTGCTGTCGGTGAAGGTGCTCCACCAGCCGATGCTTGTCTTTACAGCGCGCCCTCCTTCGGCCCCGATGACTTCTCCGGGGAACCCTCTCAGCTCTCGCGTCATACGCAGCCAACCAGCCCATGTTTCCCCCTGGGGCCCTCCCTCCTTTCCTCCCTTCCTCCGCTCCGCTAGCCCGCCCCCACGATGGGTGCGTCGCCTGCGAGGCCGACCCTGCACCCTGATTGGCGCAGGTGAGAGCTGACCCCGCCTTTCTTCTCCTTTCCGGGCACCCCTCTCTTCATCTCACCTCCTCCGGCAAAGGCAGGAAACTCTCCAACTATTGGCTAGAAGTGTCCCCACCCATAGCCTTATAGTCCTCCGCTCAGCCTGTCGGGAAGTGTAGTCTTTTGCGTTCACGAATCGCCGTCAAAGACGGCGGGTGGGACTACGAGTCCCCATACACCCTTGCGGATCTCCGGCTGGGCAGGATTCCGGACAACGCCTGGTTCCTCTCGGGTCCTTCCGGCGTCGCCGGAGTGAATTGATCCGGGAGTTGAAGAGGGTTCCAAAGGTGGGAAGTGGAGTCAGTGGCCCAGTTGCTGGTAAGGTGTAGTGGTTCTGGCTTAGTCCCCGTAGCTCTGAGCGGAGCAGAATAGGTCTGGGTCACACAGGGGCCGGGGCTGAGGTACTCGGGCTTGACTCTGGCAGACCGAGCGGACGGTGCTGGGAGCGGGGCCCTATGGGCGTAAGTGAGGTTAACCTACGCGAGTGGCGTAAAGCGGGTTTGTAAATGCCGCCTACCTGGCTTGGGCCGAAGCTCCTCCAGGAAGTCTCCCCTAGGTTGAGGCTGAAGGGGAAGGGCTATGTTGGCTTCTGGTGCCCCGGCAGAGGGGAGAAGGCGGATGTGACTTTGGTGGGGTCTGTAAAGGTGTGGCTTGAGGAGGGAGAGGTGAGGCTACTGTTTCCCCCTTGCTTTAGAAGTAGGGTGGAGAGGAGCGAAGGAAGGAAGGAGTGCTTGAGAGGCTGTTTTTAGGGGTGACTCGGGTTATGCCCTTTGAGAGAAGAGGAGAACTATATAAGGAAGAGTTGAATGTTGACAGATCAACGGATTCGGTTCACTTTCTTGATGTGGCTTCTCTGAGGAGCAATTTTGCCCTGAGTAAAAAGGCTTGACTTTCTTTTGTGTAATAACTAAGATATGTTACCCTTATGCTGTTTTCAAAGTATTTTCACATCGTGCTCCTTTTGAAGAAACGGTGGCGATAAGTGATGTGCCCAAGGTCACACATTAGGGACAGATCTTCTGAATCTTGCTTAGTTCTAGTCCAGTTTCGGAATCAGAGCTGCCTCTCAAGAAAGAAAGAGTAGGGAGATTGGTTGTGCTTTTTCAAAACGATGGAAGAAGTTGCAAAGTAATGTTATTTATCTCTAAGAAGCCATTTGTGAGGTGAGGAATTATTTATCTTGAGCTTGGGTGAAATTTCATCAATCCAAAGGAAATGTCTAATTTGGGGAAAATAAAAGGGAAAAAAGTCACTTTCAACTTAACATACATATTTTTTATTATTAGCACTATATTAAATGATAGCCTGTACCATCACAGTCCATTATTTGAAAGGGTATGTAGGAGATAGGAGAATGTCAAGCAAGCAATTTATCCCGTCCTAGTTATAAGAATATTCATTTCTTTTAGGGATTTTTTTCATCTCGTTTTGTAGAACTGAGCACAGGGGGATTGGAATTCTTTCACAAAACTTACTTTACACCTTTTTTTTTTTTTTCAAATAAAGTAGTATCAAGAGAGAGTTTAGTGTGTGCAAGACTAGAGAAGACAGTATCTTGCATTTTGTGGAGGCAATACCGTATTGGGATTTTTATTTACTCCTTGTTTTTTTGACTACAGAATGTATCTGTGTCTGTGTTTAAATGATAAAATCAGGATCTTATATATTGTTTTAAATAATGTTTCTTTTTATATTCTTTTTACATTAACTAATTGCTAACCCACTGCCATCAAGTAGATTCCAGCTTGTAGGGACCCCCATTGGGTTTCCAAGGCTGTAAATCTTTAGGGAAGTAGATCACCTCATCATCTTCTGTGGAGCAGCTGTTGATTTGAACCACCGACCTTCTGGTTGGAATCCAAATTCCTTACCCAGTATACCACCAGTGCTACTTTTGATTTTAGAGAAAAGGGGGAAAAAAAAGCCCAGAATGCTGATGTTTTCTGTTGATCCGAGAGCAGTGTTTGTTCCATTCTTATAACCTACAGTTGTTATTAGGACCAATTATAGGTCATGATTATTATTGAATGTTCTGTAATAGAATTTAAGGATTCAGTTCCTTGACATCAGAATATTTTTGTAATAAGGTTATCAAATAATTAGATACCTCTTTATAGTCAGCAGGTAACCATTCATGGCTTACTTTTATGTAAGTTGACCATTGCAATATGCCCAAGTTTAAATGCGCTTTGAAATTTTATTATTAACAGTGTTAAACTTTTGAAATGCACTAAGTTCAGAGATTTGTTCCCCTGTGGTTGTAATTAAGATGGTCTGGAAGTTAACATGACCTTTAAAACAGAAGAGAATTATGCTAGTGCAGAATGAAGTGAAGTCTGGAATAAGGTAGCGCTTAGTGTAATGTGAAACACAAGGAAAGTAGAACTAACTGAACAATTGGAAAACTATGTGGGGATAACTGATTTTGTACTGTTATTAGAGGGGTAGTTTAAGTAGACCATAAACTGAACATGAGTTAGCAATGGTAAAGCAAGTATGTTCATATATTTTCTAGATAGCAAAAATGTCATACACTTTTTGTTGAGGGAGGTGAGAAGTGAGTTCTAACTTTTTGCATGAGCTATGAGGCTATGGAAAGAGCTTTTGAATAGTCAGGAAAACCTGGAAATAAGTTAAATGAAATTAAGTATAAGTTAGTTGGTATATTTCAGTGTATGTTAGCTTTGGCCTTAATTTGATTCTACCACTTTATCTCTGAGGTTAATTGTAGTTTTGATATAGTTTCATTTATGCTGGAATGGTGCAGTAATGTTTTTCTGTATTATCCTTTGAAGTCATTCTGGAGATACTTCAGTCATTTTGGACTTCTACACATTGGATAATTTAGGGTTCACAAAGTGATGTGTTCAGTTGTATTTTTACAGTAGTTTACATTTTAAAATGTGCATTTGCTATCATTTTGGGCTTTGTAGGAGTGTTGTGTCAGCTTTTGGCCATTATCTGTTACACAACTTAGCTTGTTTTCCAGTTACATCTCATTTCTTTGTTTTTTTCTAGCTAGAGTATAAGAACGTAAGGACTGTGAAAACGGAATTTATTGTTGTACTCTGAGTAGGTAAAATAATTGAATACTTATTTCAGAGAAGAATGAACAGGCTCAGTGGCTTCCTAATGGTTAACTGGTATGACCAAATCATAATCCAGGTCTTCTGACTCCACATCTTTAGTGCTATGGAATAAAGTCTCAGTTTCCTTAGATTATTTTTCTTATGGAGAAAAAGACTTAAAATGAAATAAAGATTCAAACACTATTATCCTCTTACTCTGTTTAATGGTGATAATTTGTCTTTTGTCTCCTTTCTAACTCTCTATCCCTATCCCCAGTCTTTCTCATTTACTTGCACCTTTCAGTTACTACAGATATAAACTGCTTCTTGGCTCAAGGTCTTTGTACATGTTCCATCTCCCTGGACTGCTGCCCTCAGGGTTCCCCTGCCCCCCAAAATATGGCCAACTCTTAGTTAATTTTCAAGTCTCAAATGTCATTCCTCAGGGGAGCCTTCCCAGACCTTTGACCACTCATCCCTAGAGCTAGAGTAGGTCCCTACTGTATCTTTACCTTATTCAGTAGTTCTCCTTTGTAGCATTTATCAAAATAGGAGCTTAATTATTTGTGTATTTAAATGTCTGCCTCCATCACTAGACTGTAAGTTCTTGGGCAGAACTCTCAATTAGTAAGTGTCTTATTCTACTACTTAGCACAGTACCTAGCACAAAGTAAGTGTTAAGTAAATATTTGCCGAATGCATGAATGCATGCATTCATCTACAGTGCCTCCAGCAGAAACACACAAATGCAGAAATTAATAAATAGACATGCTTTGCACCCTCAAGGAGAAATGAGGGAACTATCCAAGGAACTTAAACTTGTGAAATTTAATTAGACAGAAAGGAATCATTGATAGAAGTTTTATATAAACTTCTTTCTTGGAGTTCTTTAAAATCAGGATAAAACCAAAACCATACTCACTGCCATCGAGTTGATTCTGACTCATAGTGACCCCTCCTTGGGTTTCCAAGGCAGTATCACTATAGAAGTAGATTGCCCAATCTTCCTTTTGAGGAGTGGCTGGTAGGTTTGAACCACCAGCCTTCTGGTTTGCGGTCAAATGCCCTAGGCACTATGCCACCAGAGCTCCAAAAATCAGGATAGATAACCTTTTATGTGGAAAGACAAAGTGTAGTCATTTGCCATTCCAGCAAAATTTCTGTATTACAGCAGTTTAGAGACCTTATTACTGGTGTGCTTTTTGCGGACAACATTGATTATAATGAAAAAACACAAAAGGAACTAACTTTTAATGAACTATATTTTTTCCTGATGTTATTTCATCCTCAAAACAGTTATTTCAGGGAGGTG